GACGGTTTCATTGGCCTTTTAAATGCCTTTTAAAGGCCAAGGTGATTCGATTTTGATGTTATTTCCGACATTTTTTGTTTTCATTCATTGAAATTAAAAAAATGTAAAAATTGTGGCGTTTGACTTTGTTGCAGTTTATTTATCTCACCCCGTATATTTAAATAATCGAACATTGGTATACATCTGTTGGTATACATCTGAGGGTATACATCTGTTGGCAAAACCGACTGATACCTTTAACATGTTTTTATAAATTTTAGAGAGCAATAAATAATTATAATTATTATTAAGAGCAATAAATAGTTCAAATTATCAATTACTAAATTTTAACTATTATTATCTAAACTTAATAAAAATCCAGGCCATGAATAAAAATGACCCATTAAATGTTTTAGTTTTAGAAAGTTCAACATAAATACTCCCCTCATTTCAAACAATGTTGTATTTATTTGTTATTTCATTGTATTAAAAAACTCTAACTCTGCTTAGGTTAAACCCAGTTTGTAGTAACCACAACCTTGAAGTGTTAAAAGAAGTAATGCTTGGCAAAAAAAAAAAAATAAGAAACACAAACATTCCAATCTATTATTATTCTAATTTCAAATAAATAATACTAAAATTTAGCTCTATTTACAAATTCTCTCTCTCTCTCTGTCACATGTCACTTGGAGAGATAACAATGGACACGTAGTTGGTTGGTGACAGATACAATCAATTAAATCAATGATTTGGACACTTCTCAAAACATTAGCGGCAATTAATTTAATTTATGTTTAGCTACACGTAAAAGTTGTAAGCGGAAATCTGGAAAATGTTATTCATGTTATTCGAATGACTTCATTCTGTTTGAAATATTTACATAGAATACGAAATTAAAGGGTTTAAGAAGTTTTCAGTTTATTTGAAGATTCTCAAAAAAAAAAAAAAAAAAAAATGGACATTGTTAAGATTATCTTCAGAGCCTTGTGATCTGAGCCTATTTATTCGATTTCGTGAAATTGTTGATTACCGATTCAAATTATTTTGGTATGGCTATAGGGGGTATATATCATTGGATACGACCAAAACGTGACTTATCGAAATAATGAATTAAGACCATAGGTCTTTTTGGACCAAATCCGTTTTTCTGATATGCATGAAATGTGTATCCGATTTGTTCAAAACTTTGTATGTCGTATATCAAACTTAGATCGAGTGATGGGTAATATCGGCTCACTCCTCCACAAAAAGTGAAAATTTTCGTGAAAAAGTTTAACTCAATAGTGAATGATCATTAAATTTTGTTTAATTTTGGAAATCCTTATATGTTTATCCTTGCTAGGTCAGGTGCAAAAATTGCCCAAAAAATCGGCCCTCCCCCACAAAGTGTCAAACTTTTAAATAATTCTAACTCATAAAATGTAAAATAATAGTCCCATTCTCTTCGAATTTCGCACATTTCAATATTTCTACCAACTCAAAATCTGGTATGAAGAACGAATATAACTCCTTTTGGTACCTACAACACAAGGTGATCGAAATTGTGTATAACCACGAACGGTCGCGATTTATTTTAAACTTGGTATATCTAAATATTTCCCTCAACCAGAGATCCGATGCAAATATGAAATTTATCAGCCCACTTCATAGATCTCAGAAATAACTAACTTTTAATCAAACTCTTCGAAAACGCCATCAACAAAGTGTACGCTAAAATTTCAAATTCTACTGGTTCCTCCATAGTTCTGTTCCTATCAGTTTTTGGAAATCAAAACTATATAATTCAAGTTCTTCATAAATCGGTGGAGGGGTTACTTACATCACTTTTGACTGATTAGCTATAATGATTTGGGGCGAATGATGATGATTTTTCAAAAAAAAAAAAAAAAAAAAAAAAAAAAAAAAATGGAAGTTCGCCAGGCCGAACTTTGAATACCATTTGGAATGAATTTGACAATTCTCAAAAACAATAAAATCCGTTAAAAATTCTGTTAAAATCTTAAATATACCGAATATAACTGTTTTATTAGGGTCGATACGACGACATGGACCTGCATAGGTAACTTTTGTCATAAGCCATTACAATATTCAAATGTCAAACTTAGAAAAAAGTCGGTGAATAACGTCGCTAAAAACATCAAAATAACGAATATGGGGAGGTAATTTGCATTTGAGTAAAATTTTATCAAACTACTTCAATTCGTTCGGAAGCTACAGTGATTTCCATAGACGGACAGACGGGCGGACATCGCTAAACCGACATACAATTTTATGCTGATCAAGAATATATGTATCTTGTGGGGTCTAAAATGTATATTTCGAGGGGCTACAAACGGAATGACGAACTTAATATACCCTCCACACTATGGCTTAAGTACCGTTCTGTGAGGGCCATACATAAACGCGGGCCCATATTCTCCCTTTTCAATACCAAACATCCAAGGAGCAACATTGTTGACTGAGCTTCCCTGGAATAGTCTCCGTTTATTTTCGGGATGTCACCCAACTCTGTGGCGGTTGCGAAACCTCTGCAGTGCCTTTGCTCCAAACGACCAAATTAGAAAGACTCTCACAGTTATTTCGTAAAATATTTGTGCCTTTAATTTTTTATAACCGACACCACGCTGGTATTAGTTTATAACATTAGTAAAGAATGGACGTGATGGACACATAGCTAAATTTGAAGATCTCCATATAATCACATTCTGAGTCGATGCATGTATGTCCGACTGTCCATGTGTAAAGTCAACTCAAAATGTATGGACTCTAGCATCTACAAATCCGTTTCAGGATATTTGGAGTCGATTTAGCGATCTATGAAGCTCATAAAATGTAAAATTAACATTCGATTACATTTAAACTAGGTACATCTTAATATTTCTACTAACACAAGATCTGCTGTGAATATGGGATATATCGGTCCACTCCTTCTGGTACCACCCCACACAAAAGGGTCAAAGTTTTGAATAACCAAAACGATCATAAAATCCGAAATAAACATCAAGTTATCTTTACACTTCACACATCCCATTAGTTCTACTAACACAAGAGCTATTGTGAAGAACGGTCCACTCCTTTTGGTACCTCCCCCTACAAAGAGTGAAATCTTTGAATATCCATGAAGCTCATAAAATGCGAAATTAACGCCCAATTCCATTCAGACTTGGTACATCACAATATTTCTATCAACACAACATCTGTAAAAGAGATGGTAGAGATCGAACCACTCCTTCTGGTAGCACACCACCCCAAAAAAAAAAAGGGTTCACAATTTTGAAAAACAAAAAAAAATAAAAATAAACATGCACTCTTTTCAAAATTTATGATTTCGCATAAAATTAAATATAAATGTTTGATTTTCTTGTAATTTTGCCCATACCAATTTTTATCTGTATTAGATGAAGTGTAAAGATTGAATACTTCGGTCTACTAAATCTGGCACCGTATGTACTTTTCCACATTCTCTGAAAATTATCACATATCTCATATAAAGTGAAGGAAGTAGTCCGATACGAAATTTACAATATTTTCCCATTTCTTCTAAACGTACTCCATGGAGGGTCCACAAGTTGCATAATCATAACAGAACTCAAAATATATTTAAATAATCAAAAATTACTTGAGAGTACACCTCTGTCGACAAAACCGACCGATATTTTTTATACCCTCCACCATACTATGGAGGGTATATTAATTTTGTCATTCCGTTTGTAACTCCTCGAAATATTCATGTCAGACCCAACAAAGTATATATATTCTTGATCAGCGTAAAATTCTAAGACGATTTAGTCATGTCCGTCTGTCTGTCTGTGTGTCTGTCTGTCTGTCTGTTGTAATCACGCTATCTTTCGAACAAATTGAGATAGAAGGCTAAAATTTTGCACACATGTATATTTTCCCAGTTGGCAGGTTAAGTTCGTAAATGGGCCATGTAGGTCCAAGTTATCATATAGCCCCCATATAACGGTACCTCCCGATATTCGGTATTTTGATGATTTTAGCGACATTATTCACCGGAATTATTTCAAATTTGGCATTTGAAGTTCGTAATGGATACTACAGCCTAAGACAGAAAATTATCTGCGCAGGTCCACGTCTTCGTGTAGCCCTCATATGACGGTACCCCCCGATATTCGGTTTTTTGATGATTTTAGCGACATTGTTTACCGGAATCGTTTCAAATTTGGTATTTGAAGTTAGTAATGGATACTACATCCTAAATCAAAAAAAATGAGCCATGTAGGTCCACGTCTTCGTATAGCCCCCATATAACGGTACCCCCCATATTCGGTATTTTGACGATTTTAGCTACATTATAAACAGATTTTTCTTCAAGTTTCGCATTTAAATATTGTAATAATTTATGACAAAAGTTGCCTATGCAGGCCCACGTTGTCTTATAAGCATTCGGTATTTTTAAGGTTTTAACAGAATTTTTAACCGGTTTTATTTTTTGGAAATTCCCAAATTTGTACCAAATGGTGGAAGGTATTAAAAGTTCGGCCCGGCCGAACTTACAGCTTTTTTACTTGTTAAATTCTTATATACAGAAATTAGCTCAGGTCAATTAAATATTACCAAATTTATATATCTACAAATTCCATGTTCTTCTCAGGTCTTAAAATTAAGAATCCACCTAGAAGCTGACCCTCAATACCCTCTATTATATATTTCATATATCTATATTTTTGGACTTAGGTTATTTTAACCCAAATCAAAACAAACAAACAAATGTCTGCAATTGTAATTATAGATCGATCAATCGACGAATGATGATTGTTGTTGTTGTTGTGACATTGTCATGGCGTTACACCTGATCAATTTTGTTATATGATTGGAGGCAGATTAAGACTGGCGGACCACAGACAGATGGTTATTTATTTATTGTTAATGGAATATTATTATTTACTGCAATTGTCATTGCTGATGTTTGTTGTCGTTGTTGTTGCTGCAATAGCACACTTCACAGTTATTGCAATGGAATATTATTTTTGATTGACATTCAATTGATTGGTACGTACCGGCGGCCAATGGCAGAAGAAACAGCAGACGCTGATAAAGGTTGCCGAACACCGGAAGACTCATAATTTATAGCTGATGGTGATGGTGGTGGTGATTTCTTGAGAAAAAAGATTCTTGGCTGCAGATTGTCGTTTCCTTGCAATTAAATATTTGCGTGAATAGTACACAGACTCACACACACACGGATACACTTGTTTGTTACACAAATAGTAAATATTTTCCTTGCTTTTTTTCCTCTATTTTCAACAAACGAGAAATTTTCAAATAAGAAAATTTTATTTTCAAAACTGTCACAAAAATTCAAATTGTATTCAAATATTATAACGTTTATTTTGTATATCCGTTTTTCAGTTTTGTTTTGTGTTGTTTTTTCTAATACCGCTGTTCCGCTATCCGTGTCTTGGTTTCAATTGCTGGCGCGTACTAACTGCAATGTTGTTGTTACCATTATTTCTTATATGGCTTGACGGGCGGTTGGTCGGGCTTTGCAGCATTTGCTCAAAACCAAATCCAACAAAATTTGTTTTCCAAAACAATCGGAATCTTGTGCTCTTCTGGTATCTATTGTGAATTGTTGTGTTTCGAATTTGCCTGCTGCATACCGGCATTTGTGGGTGAGTTGTGTGTGTTTGAGTGTTTGTTGGGGGGGATTATGTTGTGTGCCGGCACTGGGATTGAGTTAAAATCGGAAATGTTGTTTACTTCTTTGCAAATCACTCGATTAGCGGAAGAGAGCAGAAGTTGATGGGTATTAGATGAGGTTATATTGGAAAAAAATGCCGGGTGGATTAATTCTAACAAGCCAAAACGGAAATGTGATATTTTATGCGGGATATAGAAAAATCACCTTGGACAAAAGCAAGATTAATCGATTGCATATAATGTCCTCAATTCCAGGCATTCTGTGAGGTTTTTATACCCTGGAGGAGGATATACTATGTAGGTTGGTCATTATTTACTAAAATGCGTTTTAAGTATTGAAAATGAGATATATTCACAGATAGGTCCACCTTTTGATGTAGCCCCTAAATAACTGTACCAAGGATTTTTTTTTTCAAACTGAAATTGCTGCATATTGGCAGTTGCATTCCCAGAAAGTCGGTATTCGACATTTTGATGATTTGCCACTTCCTATGGCAGAAAATTACCTATACAGGTCTACATCTTTGTATATGCCCCATATAAATATACCCCCGATATTCGGTATTTTGACAATTTCAGCTACATTGTTCAACGAAAAAATCTCAAACAAGGTATTTGAAAATCACGTTTTCGTATAGCAAGCACCCTCTCAATATTGAAGGGTATTAAAATTTTGGCCGGAAAGCTGTTTTCTTACTTGTACCTTTTTTAAATTCTGAGGAGAACTATCTCAGTACAATGTATCGAAGAATAAACTGAAGAAGATAGCGAAAATCCTCTACGACAAGGTGTATCGATGATCAGGCAACGTTATCTGTTGTTCCCCAAGAGGAACGTACGTATTCGCATCAAGGAACAGAAAAACTTTTAATAGAATATCAGAAGGTCTTCTAACAGAAGAGAAAATGGTTTTGTCATGGAAAATAAGGTCTTCTCATAGAAGACCAGAAGGTCTTCTGACAGAAGAGTAGAAGGTCTTCTGATAGAAGAGCAGCAGGTCTTCTCATAGAAGACCAGAAGGTCTTCTGATAGAGATCAGCAGGTCTTCTGATAGAAGATTAGTAGAACTTCTGATAGAAGATCAGCAGGTCTTCTGATAGAAGATCAGCAGGTCTTCTGATAGAAGAGCAGCAGGTCTTCTGATAGAAGAGCAGCAGGTCTTCTGATAGAAGAGCAGAAGGTCTTCTGATAGAAGATCAGCAGGTCTTCTGATAGAAGAGCAGCAGGTCTTCTGATAGAAGATCAGCAGGTCTTCTGACAGAAGAGCAGCAGGTCTTCTGATAGAAGACCAGAAGGTCTTCGTATAGAAGACCAGAAGGTCTTCGTATAGAAGACCAGAAGGTCTTCGTATAGAAGACCAGAAGGTCTTCTCATAGAAGGCCAGGAAGTTCTTCTAATAGAAGGCCAGAAGGTCTTCCTATAGAAGACCAGCAGGTCTTCCTATAGAAGACCAGACGATCTTCCTATAGAAGACCAGACGGTCTTCCTATAGAAGACCAGACGGTCTTCCTATAGAAGACCAGACGGTCTTCCTATAGAAGACCAGACGGTCTTCCTATAGAAGACCAGAAGATCTTCTGATAGAAGAGCAGCATTTCTTCTGATAGAAGCACAGCAGATCTTCTGATAGAAGAGCAGCATTTCTTCTGATAGAAGGCCAGAAGGTCTTCTGATAGAAGACCAGAAGGTCTTCTGATAGAAGATCAGCAGGTCTTCTGATAGAAGAGCAGCAGGTCTTCTGATAGAAGACCAGAAGGTCTTCGTATAGAAGACCAGAAGGTCTTCGTATAGAAGACCAGAAGGTCTTCGTATAGAAGACCAGAAGGTCTTCGTATAGAAGACCAGAAGGTCTTCGTATAGAAGAGCAGCAGGTCTTCTGATAGAAGAGCAGCAGGTCTTCTGATAGAAGAGCAGCAGGTCTTCTGATAGAAGAGCAGCAGGTCTTCTGATAGAAGACCAGAAGGTCTTCTGATAGAAGACCAGAAGGTCTTCTGATAGAAGACCAGAAGGTCTTCGTATAGAAGACCAGAAGGTCTTCGTATAGAAGACCAGAAGGTCTTCGTATAGAAGAGCAGCTGGTCTTCGTATAGAAGAGCAGCAGGTCTTCGTATAGAAGAGCAGCAGGTCTTCGTATAGAAGAGCAGCAGGTCTTCGTATAGCGGGTCTTCTGATATAAAAGCAGCAGGTCTTCTGATAGAAGACCAGAAGGTCTTCTGATAGAAGAGCAGCATGTCTTCTCATAGAAGAGCAGCAGGTCTTCTCATAGAAGAGCAGCAGGTCTTCTCATAGAAGAGCAGCAGGTCTTCTCATAGAAGAGCGGCAGGTCTTCTCATAGAAGAGCAGCAGGTCTTCTCATAGAAGAGCAGCAGGTCTTCTCATAGAAGAGCAGCAGGTCTTCTCATAGAAGAGCAGCAGGTCTTCTGATAGAAGAGCAGCAGGTCTTCCTATAGAAGAGCAGCAGGTCTTCTATTAGAAGACCAGAAGGTCTTTTTTAGAAGACCAGAAGGTCTTCCTTTAGAAGACCAGAAGGTCTTCCTATAGAAGACCTGAAGGGCTCCTATAGAAGACCAGGAGGTCTTCCTATAGAAGACCAGAAGGTCTTCCTATAGAAGACCAGAAAATCTTTCATAGTAGACAAGAAATCCGGAAGAAAAATTTTATTTCATTTTTAAATATCTTCAGATATCGTCAGAAGATCTTTTCGTAGAAGGCCAGAAGGTCTTCTTGTAGAAGGCGGGAAGGTCTTCTCTCAGAAGGCCAAAAGGTCTTCTCGCAGAAGGAAGTGTTCTCATAGAAGACCAGAAGGTCTTCTGATGGAAGAGCAGCAGGTCTTCTGATAGAAGATCAGCAGGTCCTCTCATAGAAGACCAGAAGTTCTTCTCATAGAAGACCAGAAGCTCTTCTCATAGAAGACCAGAAGGTCTTCTCATAGAAGACCAGAAGGTCTTCTCATAGAAGACCAGAAGCTCTTCTCATAGAAGACCAGAAGGTCTTCTCATAGCAGACCAGAAAGTCTTCTCATAGAAGACCAGAAGGTCTTCTCATAGAAGACCAGAAGGTCTTCTCGTAGAAGACCAGAAGGTCTTCTCATAGAAGACCAGAAGGTCTTCTCATAGAAGACCAGAAGGTCTTCGTATAGAAGACCAGAAGGTCCTCGTATAGAAGACCAGAAGGTCTTCGTATAGAAGACCAGAAGGTCCTCGTATAGAAGACCAGAAGGTCTTCGTATAGAAGACCAGAAGGTCTTCGTATAGAAGACCAGAAGGTCTTCGTATAGAAGACCAGAATGTCTTCGTATAGAAGACCAGAAGGTCTTCGTATAGAAGACCAGAAGGTCTTCGTATAGAAGACCAGAAGGTCTTCGTATAGAAGACCAGAAGGTCTTCGTATAGAAGACCAGAAGGTCTTCGTATAGAAGACCAGAAGGTCTTCGTATAGAAGACCAGAAGGTCTTCGTATAGAAGACCAGAAGGTCTTCGTATAGAAGACCAGAAGGTCTTCGTATAGAAATCAGAAGGTCTTCGTATAGAAGATCAGAAGGTCTTCGTATAGAAGACCAGAAGGTCTTCGTATAGAAGACCAGAAGGTCTTCGTATAGAAGACCAGAAGGTCTTCGTATAGAAGACCAGAAGGTCTTCGTATAGAAGACCAGAAGGTCTTCCTATAGAAGACCAGAAGGTCTTCCTATAGAAGACCAGCAGGTCTTCCTATAGAAGACCAGAAGGTCTTCGTATAGAAGACCAGAAGGTCTTCGTATAGAAGAGCAGCAGGTCTTCTGATAGAAGAGCAGCAGGTCTTCTGATAGAAGACCAGAAGGTCTTCTGATAGAAGACCAGAAGGTCTTCGTATAGAAGACCAGAAGGTCTTCGTATAGAAGACCAGAAGGTCTTCGTATAGAAGAGCAGCTGGTCTTCGTATAGAAGAGCAGCAGGTCTTCGTATAGAAGAGCAGCGGGTCTTCTCATAGAAGAGCAGCAGGTCTTCTCATAGAAGAGCAGCAGGTCTTCTGATAGAAGAGCAGCAGGTCTTCTGATAGAAGAGCAGCAGGTCTTCTGATAGAAGAGCAGGAGGTCTTCTGATAGAAGACCAGAAGGTCTTCTGATAGAAGACCAGAAGGTCTTCTGATAGAAGACCAGAAGGTCTTCTCATAGAAGACCAGAAGGTCTTCTCATAGAAGAGCAGCAGGTCTTCTCATAGAAGAGCAGCATGTCTTCTCATAGAAGAGCAGCAGGTCTTCTGATAGAAGACCAGAAGGTCTTCTCATAGAAGACCAGAAGGTCTTCTCATAGAAGACCAGAAGGTCTTCGTATAGAAGACCAGAAGGTCTTCGTTTAGAAGAGCAGCAGGTCTTCTGATAGAAGAGCAGTAGGTCTTCTGATAGAAGAGCAGTAGGTCTTCTGATAGAAGAGCAGCAGGTCTTCTGATAGAAGACCAGAAGGTCTTCTGATAGAAGACCAGAAGGTCTTCTGATAGAAGACAAGAAGGTCTTCGTATAGAAGACCAGAAGGTCTTCTGATAGAAGACCAGAAGGTCTTCGTATAGAAGACCAGAAGGTCTTCGTATAGAAGACCAGAAGGTCTTCGTATAGAAGACCAGAAGGTCTTCGTATAGAAGACCAGAAGGTCTTCGTATAGAAGACCAGAAGGTCTTCGTATAGAAGAGCAGCTGGTCTTCGTATAGAAGAGCAGCTGGTCTTCGTATAGAAGAGCAGCTGGTCTTCGTATAGAAGAGCAGCTGGTCTTCGTATAGAAGAGCAGCTGGTCTTCGTATAGAAGAGCAGCAGGTCTTCGTATAGAAGAGCAGCGGGTCTTCTGATAGAAAAGCAGCAGGTCTTCTGATAGAAGACCAGAAGGTCTTCTGATAGAAGAGCAGCATGTCTTCTCATAGAAGAGCAGCAGGTCTTCTCATAGAAGAGCAGCAG